AAGTTCAAATCAAAGGTGAGGAGAGAGAGGGAGAGACGGATGGAGGGAAGGGGAAAATGGTTTTTACATCGGAAAATACGATAGAATGACCCCCCAAAAAAGAAAATTTTTGTTTTCTAGTGAATTTGGACGTTCACGTGTGGATTCGTAATTTGGTTATTTTTTTTATTAGTGTAAGTAATCGTTTGTTCGTTTGTTCCTTTGTTTGTTTGTTTGTTTGCGTAAATTTTTTAACGGTTTATAAAAAAAAAAAAAAGAAAAAAGTTTTTGTTAAAATAAGTTTTGTAAAAGAAGTTTTTTAAAAAAATTTTCTTTGAAATTGAAAAACAAGGAAAAGTTTTATACAACGTACGATTTTAGTGAAAAGGTTATTTGGGGGGGAGAGAGAAAGGGGGATAAATGGGGAGGGGGTGAATGGTTAAAAAATATTTCGGGAAAGTAAAAAGCAGAGAAAAAATTCGCAATTTTTTTTATTTTAAATTTTTTGGTTGATTTTACGCGTAAGTTTGTCGTGTCTGATTTTTCGTTTGTTTGTTTGTTTGTTGCAGACGAAAACGGCGACGATTTAGGGTAACTAAAAAAAAAAAAATTGTCGGCGATGGCGCCATTTTAAAAAACTTTTATTAATTAAAAACATTTACTTGTGGGGAGGTGAGGGGGAATTAGGTTTAAAAGCCGTACCTGAAACTTTTGACAAAGGTTTATTTGAAATTTCATTTTCATTTCGTCACTTATCAAAAAGTTTGCCATTTTTTTTTTTTAAACTCGATTTTTAAAAATGACGAAACAAACAAACAAACAAAAATGGATAACAATTTCTTTTATTGTTTTTTTTTTTGACAAATATGGGAGAAAATATAAGCGCGGAACAAAAACATGAAAACAAACGATTTTAGCCCACACATACGCGAAAAATTTATTTATTTATTTTTTTGTTTGTTTGTTTGTTTGATTCCGATGCGATTTGCAACGCCGGGGTCGCGGACCTATTCAAATCATTTTTATTAAACGTTTGTTATGTTGTGTTTGCCTCCTCCTTTTTAAACGAAATAAAAATGAAAAAAGTTTGTCCCGGTTGTACGAATCCCATAAGAATTTATTTAAAAAAAATTTTTTTTTTACTTTCCTTCCACCTCCCCCCACCTCCATTCGTACCAAAAGGTTTAAAAAAAAAAAAAGGAAAATTTTATAATTTTATGGTTGAAAGATTTAAGGTTTGCCTCTCTCTCTCTCTTTTTTCTAGAAGCGAAAAAAAAGGCTCGGTAATGACAAATAATTTACAGTTAGAGACACTCTTGTTAAGGGTCGATAAAGGTTGTTGTTGTTGTTGTTGTTTTCTACTTAGAGTTGACTGACCTCAACTTATAATCTTTTTCTTTCTTTCTTTTTTTTTTTTTTTTTTGTTAAAAATATTGAATTATTAATAATAATAATAATAAGGGAGGGTGTTTGTGAGGGGGTTGAAAATTTTTTTACACGTGAGAAATATTTTTATTTACAGGTGTTGGCGGTGGTTGTGTTCTTCTAAAACCACGTTAAAAAATTTTCATAAAATCATTTCTCATGTGACTATGCTTGTTTTCTTTTTTTTTTTTTTTTAATTATTTTAAAGCAATCAACCCCACCGCCGCCATCTTGTCATGTTTCAGGTATAAATAAAATAAATTTTTTTTCTTTCCCTCGGTTCTTTTTTTTTTTTTTTCGTTTTAATTACGGTTTATTGTCCTCGTGAGTTGTTTTTTTTTTATATGAGAAGCAGTGTCACTAGAGTCTTTTGTCACGACTGAAAAACTTTTTTTTTACTTCGAAAATTTTCATAGCCGCCATGTTTTTTTTTCTACCGAATCCCAAAGTCGTCGTTTTTAATAAAAAAATTTCGTATGCGATTTAATAAATTTTATTTTCGTTTGATTGTTTTTCGTAAAACAAACAAACAAACATTAAAAAAATTATTTCTGTTTGTTTTCGTGTAAATTTTTTTTTTTACACGTGACCTTGAATATAATTCGTCATTCGTTCAATTACCTTTTAAACTATCCGAGTTGATCGTTTTTTTTTTTTTGGGGGCGAAATCAGGTAAACGAAATTTAAAAAATTTTTTTACCCCCCGTTATAAAAATAAAAAAAAATTGATTTACAACTACAAACATACGATTTGGTTGTTGTTGTTGTTGTAAATAAAAAACAAACAGGATTTTTTTTTAATCAGGATAATCAAAAAATTAGATCTTTGTGAATATTATTAATTTTTATAAGAGAGAGAGAGAAAGAGAGTAGATGTCAAAAAGTTTTCAAAATTATTTTGACTTGTTAGCAAGTTTTATTTTATTTATTAACACAAACAAACAAACAATAAATAAATAAGTTTTTATGTATATAATAATAATAATAACAATGACCGTAGAAGAAAAAAACAGATGTATGTTGTTGTTGTTGTTGTTGTTTTCCTTTAATTTTGTCTTTAAATGTGTTGTCTAAATTTTTTTTTTTATAAAAAGGCTCATAAATTTTATATGCGAGACAGTGAGAGAGAGAGAGAGAGAGAGAGAGAGAGAGAGAGAGAGAAAGATAGAAGGAGAATTTTTTTTTAAAGGGAAAAACGTAGTGAAAAGGGGGAGTAAAAAAAAAGAAAACAAATAAAAAGTTCAAAAATGATGTATTGCATTGCCGTAATACTTTTTTTTTCTTTTTTGTATTTTTACCAAATCGTACCTACCCCTCCCCCCTCACAACCACCACCTTCTACATTTCCCTTTCCTATCCGGTAGGTACAAATATGAAAAGATAGGAAAAAAGAAAAGAAAAGAAAAAAAAAACTTTTAAAAATTATATTTGGTGACTAAAAATACCAATTTGACCACCCTGTTAAATGCGCGCGACGACGAGGGGGTAGAAAATGGGGTAAAATATATATCTTTTTGGTAAATTAACATTTTTTACAACTTTTTCAAAAAAAAAAAAAGGGAAAAACCTAACCTGTCAATCTGTCAAGGTAAATGAGAATAAAATTTACCACATTTACTGACATTTTTTTTTCTTTCTTTCTTTCTTTCTTTCCTTCTCTCTTTCCAACAACCTCTTCTCGTTTTCAATTAAAAAACAAAACAAACAAACAAACAAACAAAAAACAAATTTAAATATGGTACGTCGATAAATTTTCTCAACTGAAAAAAAAAAACAACAAACAAACAAACAACAACGACCAACGAACGAATCTCTTATTTAACAAAATAATAATTTTACAAAAACAAACGCATGCGCTGTACAAAACAAACAAACAAACAACAAACATATTTTTTTGTTTTATTATTATTATTATTTTGGATGGTTTAATTAATGACACACGAGTGCATTTTTTTTCTTTCCATTGTGGAATTTGTTCAAATTTAAAAATCAATTTTAACAATTTTTTAATCGGTTTATATATTTATTATTTTTGACCTGATCATCATTATCATCATCATTATCATTATTATCAATTCGTTAATTTATTTAAATCAAATCGTTTTGATGGAAAAAAAATTTTTTTTCCCTGGACGAGAGAGGTATCGTACACACACACACACATACACTCTTTTCATTATTATTATTATTATTAAATGCTCTTTTAAAATTTCAAAGTGGCAGAAGAATGAATAACAATTATTATTATTTATTTATTTATTTCACGATTGTAATTGCCACGTTTATAATTTTATATATATAAATTTTTTTGTTAAGAAGATTTTGGGCGAGATGAAAATTGAAAGAAAGAATTTTCTCCAAAATAAATATTTTACACGGTATTTATTATTATTATTATTGTTGTTTATACTGCGCAGAAGTCTTTTTTTGGTGTGCGGGGGGGGGGAGAATAAAATGGAAAAATGTTTTTTTTTTCGGGGAGCTGGAGGGAAGGGAAATAGAATTCATTTCGAATCACAGTTATAATCTTTGATAGAAACTCAAAGTGAAATGTTATTATTATTATTATTATTATTATTATTATTACGATCATAGGGTTTTATTGTTTAGGTTCTGAGGGATATTCGGGTTACATTAATTATTAAATTGGAAAATAATTTTCTTTTTTTGGGGGAGGGGGGGAGAGTGAAAGCAAACGAGGGAAGGTGGAAGATTTTTTTATTATTATTTGGTTAAGTGAATTTAGGGATTGTAGGTGAAATAATTTGTATTGTTTGCTTGTTTGTTTGTTCGTCAACAATCGATTGTAGTATATTACTAATAATATTATTTATTATTATTATTATTGCTTTGAAAAAAATAAAATTAAAAAAAAAAGGGAAAAAGAGATTTCGGAGTAGAAGAAGAAAAAGAAGAAAAAAAAAAGAACGAAGGCGTGCAAAATTAAAAGGGCGGTCTGAGTCGTTTCCACCCAAACCTCATCATTGGTTCGGTTTAAACATGGCAGGCTCTCGGATCAATCGATAATTTAAACTTAAATCGTACGTTGATAATGACGCTAAGAAGTTTTTTATTAGGGAAAAAGTTTTTTTTACGTTGAAAATTTTCAAAAAAAATTTTCATTTAATTCTAAGAAAATTGTTTTTACAAATGAAAAAAACATTGAAAGTAAATTCTATTTAAAAATTAATTATGATTTAAATGCCGTAACGTAAGAAAACGGGATTTTATACGTACGAAATAAGTTAAATGTAAATATTTTTAAAAAATTATTCACGTCGCAATATTGTTTCTTTCGCAAGCTATGAAAAATCGAGCGCGTCGTTGTTTTTCAATACAATTTTTGTTCATCTTAGAATTACCGTCGCGCGTATAATTTTCCTCGAAATCGTTCGTTAAAATAAAAAATATAAAAATCCTGTTTTTAACGTTAAACGTAACGATTGCGTTAGGGATTTACTTTTGATAAATGTAAGGAAATCATATTAAAATACCATTCAACCTCAAGCGAAGAACAGTACGTGTGGAGTATGTAACGCGTTGCTCGGATGCAGTGAGAAAGAGGGGAGGGTTTCGGTGACCACTGCTAGAGTTTCATGAGCGGAGGCATTCAGCGTTATTGTCTTGGTGAGAATAGTAGTAGTATTGAAAGGGGGCCAACTGCGAAAAGGCTCATTGTCATTGATTTCGGATGTGTAAAGACCATAGGTGGACAATATAATCACATGTAATTATAATAATAATAATAATAAATATTTCGCGAATCCACGTGTAGTTCTCGATTTATAAAAAAAAAAGTTTTAATTCGGTTAAAATAAAATTAAAACAAAAAGAATTTTGAGTGCGCGTTCGATTGTAGTAAATGGTGGACTCATTTAAATTTTTTTTTCCTCACAAATCTTTAAATTTTACCCATAAATCGAATACCTAAAGAAAAAAAAATTTTTTTCGTATTAAAAGTAAAGAAATTATTATTATTATTAATAATAATATAATATTATTATACTTGTATATATATATTTTTTTTCTCTTGGTAAATTATTGAAAAGTGAATATTATATGAAAATGTTAAAAATTTGTTGAAATATAAATATACTGTGCATGTGCGTGCTTGTTTAGCTGGCTTCAGTCAGCGTGAAAACGCCACGAAGGCGTTTTTGGGTTCCGCGTCGAGGTTACCAAAATCAAACAAACTGTACGCACACAGGGAGGACGAAATGCTGACGATGGAGGCGGACCTCAAGGGCGGTAGTCTTCACGGAAATATGGCGCCGCACCCTGGCCTGCATCAAGTCAGCAGTTACGGTACTTTAGGAGGTTTAGTTCACGGATCATCATTATCGCCGAGTAGCATGGCCTTGGGTCAACCACATCTCCAGCACATGTCGCAACATCAACCTTTGCAACACTCTCAACACACACCCCATCATCAATCTCATCAACCGCCTCAGCATCACCAACCTCCGCCGTCCAGTCTTCATCAGCACGCACCCCAGCCAAATAATAACAATAGTTCAAATAAAAATCAAAATATCGATCGGGTAAAACGTCCCATGAACGCATTCATGGTTTGGTCGAGAGGTCAACGACGGAAAATGGCACAGGAAAATCCTAAAATGCATAATTCGGAAATATCTAAAAGACTTGGTGCGGAGTGGAAGCTACTTAGTGAGTCGGAAAAAAGGCCTTTCATTGACGAAGCGAAACGCTTGAGAGCCGTTCATATGAAAGAACACCCAGATTATAAATATAGACCGCGTAGAAAAACGAAAACGTTGCTCAAAAAGGACAAATATCCTCTCGGGGGAACGACTCCGTTAATTCCGGGAAGTGGGGGAGAATCCGCGCGAAGTCCGGTGTCCCAACACCAAACCCTCGGGAGAGACGTATATCAAATGCCTAACGGATACATGCCTAATGGATACATGGTTCACGACGCGGCATATCAGCAACATTACGGCGGGTACCGTTACGACGTCGGACAAATGCAACACGCCGGATACGTGAACGGTTCGTCGTACGGAATGTACGGGGGAACCGTTCCCGGAGGAGCTCCCTCACCTTACCTCCAACAGTCGTCTCACAGTCCGAGCGGGAGCTCCATAAAATCCGAGCCCGTTTCGCCGTCGTCGGGAGGATTGCACACGCCCACGCCTACCACCGGAGCTCCGGTTTCGATAAAAAGAGAATACTCAGGCACGCCGGGAGCCGTACCCGCCGGGAGCAACGGTTCGACCGGAGATCTCCGGCAAATGATCTCAATGTACCTTCCCGGAGAACCCGGTGCTGAGCAGCGCCTTCATCAAATGCAGTATCACCCGTCGGACCAGTTGCAGCCTTTGGCGCACATATAGGGCCCGGCCGAGCCTTCTCCCTGGGCGCATCACGCCATGGACTTTGCGCCATGACTAAAATGACTAAGCCTAGGGTGCGAAGAAGGCCTCGACATGAAAATTTTTTGTAAATATAACGAACGCTTCATCGTCCATCATCGGACCTCATACGCCGACTTAATAAAAGGTAAATTTAAATACTTTTATTGTTATTATTATTACTATTATTATCATTATCATCATTATTATTATTATTACTACTTTTTACGCCATTTTACACGCGCCATAAACTATAATTATTTTAACCAAACTCGGCATATAATTTTAATTTTTACGGAGGTGTGGAATCTTTCTCGTAAACCTAATAATAATATAAACTAAATAAAAAAAAAAATTTATTATTATTATTATTATTATTTTTCGTTCGTCGGACCATAAAATTTTATACGGAGCGACGGGAAGTAGAGAGAGAGAGAGAGGAAGGGAAGGAATCGTTTGAAAATTTTTTATCATTATCATTATTATTTGGCGGAGAAAATTTTTCGAAATTGAACTTTTTTCAAAAAAAAAAAAAAAAACATTCAATTTTCGTGTTCAACGCTCTGTAAAATTTACAATGATGATGATGATGATGATGGCGACGACGACGATTTAAGCATTTTTTTATATTATTATTATCATCATCATCATTATTTTTTCCTCCTCTCACGACAAAAGAGGAAAAAGTAAAGTTAAAAAAAAAAAAGAAAGAAAGAAAAAGATTTCATCGGGAAAAGTATTTTACTACTATTACTAGTACTAAAAAAAAATACAACAAAACGGAATGTAGGAAAATGTGGGGGGAGGGGTTTAAAAAAAATTTAAATTTTTAAATTAACTACGTTCGAACGTTCGAATTTGTATAAAAACGACCGTTATTATTTTTCGTTTTCGGTTTGTGATATCGTTCGACGGAAGTTCAAAAAACCGAGAAAAAAAATTTTTCATTTTATTTTCGTAAAATAATAATAATAATTATTATCATTATCATCGAGAGTAAGGTTTTTTCGCGTAACGGTTTTTTTTTTTTTTCGTTATTCGCATCGACGGTAAAAAAAAAAACGTTCGAAAAACTAAACAGGATGAAATTGAATCGCAGACGAAAAAAAAATAATTTGCCGTCGGTAATTTCCTCGATTTATTATTATTATTATTATTATCATCATCATCATCATCATCATCATCGCTAGCAGAAAGCAAACGGATTTTGAGTTGAAAACAATCGCGTACAATATGAAACCTGTTTTGATTGAAGAAAATTAAAAAAAAAAAAAAAATCGTTCGTTATTTTAAAAAATTTTGGCGTTCGATTCGCGATTCATTCGCGAGGTTGAAAAGGTGAATTTTTCTGGAGAAAATGAACATTCATTGGAGAAAAAAAAAATAATATTAATAAAGAATAATTTTTTTGGAATTTTCCGGTGTCCGTTTGTCTAATATACGACAAAGAAGAAGTAGAAGAAAATTTTTTTAAAAAAATGATTTTCTCCAGTATCCATTTTTAACGACGAGTTCCGGTACCCGAATTTTATTTATTTTCGTCTTCCAAAAAAAAAAATTTCGGTAGCAGCAGAAGAAAAAAAAGAAAAAAAGTCGTCGGTCGTCTCATTATTATTATTATTATTAATCACGGTCACGGAAAGATTTTCAGATTTTTTTTTTTTTTTTCGTTTGATTGATTCATCAAAATTTTTTTTCGATGAATCGATCGATCTATCGAATGGAAAAAATGATTCGATACGGGAAAAAAAGGTTTTGTGTTCTCCAGCGCCGACGACGACGACGACGTTTGGTCTGGAGAGAAATATCGGATTTTTTTTTTTTTTTAAACCACAAATTAATTCGATTTTGTTTAAACGGATAAAAATAATTTTGGAGAAAAAAAATATTTGGGGAGAGAGAGGGAGAGGAAAAGGGAGAGAGTGGGGGACCGGTAAAATTTTTTGGTGAAAATTCTGGAATTTGTTGTCTTCCTATACGTAAAAAAAAATTTAATGATATTTTTTATTTTAATAAGAATGTTTTTCTATTTGTCAAAGTTATTTAACGGCGAGTATTCCCCCCCCCTCTATCTGTCGAAACAGGTATGATGATGATGATGATGATGATTTTGATGACGATGATGATGATAATGATGATACGCGAGGATTTAAATAAAATTCACATTTTGTCAGTGTTTTTACTATTTTTTTTCTTTCTTCTTCTCCAGCACCACGACATTTTTTTCATCATCATCATCATCATCATCATCATTATTACTATAAATTTTTTTTTTTTCATTATCATTAAACACGCCAGACATCAATCATGGAAGATACTACGAAAGCTTTTTTTTTTTTTTTTACTACGTGGAATGGAGGATGGAATTTTAAAAATGGTGGAAAAAAAAGGTTTTCGTCATAAATCAGTAACGTTGTCAAAGATTGTTTTTTTTTTTTATTAATAATATTAATAATAATAATCACGTTCGCATTTTTTTGCCGTTTGTCGACGATTGACGAAAATGTCGCGCAAAAACAAAAACAATGATGATGATGATGATGGAAAGCGCGCGCGTTTTTGTAATAAAATTAACGTAAATAATTAATTAGGATTTTAACACTCAGTTAACCGTCATTCGATTCGAATGTTTCGAAAATTTTTTTTTTTTTTTTTTTTTACAAAAGTAAATAAATAAAGAAAAACGAACGTTAAAAAACTTTCAAGGTTTTTTTTTTTTTTTTTAATTCGCCGCCATTTTGTTTTTTTTTTTTTTTTGCATATGCGAATTAAAACGTTAACGAAAATGTTGCGTCAAAATTTTCTTGTCGTAATACGTAGACAGAATGTTTGTCCGTTTTGGTCGAAGGAGGAAGTAAAAAAAATTTAAGAGCAGAAGACGCTAGTTATTATTATTATTCTTATTATAAATTAAGTATTGAATTGTTTGTTAATTAGATTTTTGCCATGCACGAACGTAAAAATATTTTCGGAAAAACGTTTTCGGTTTAAACACGCAAGGAAGAAAAGAAAATCCGTACGTCGAACGACATGTCATGTCAACTAAATTTTTTTTTTATAAGGTACATTATTTACTCAGGTACCGATGATGATGATGATGATGATAGATCAGCAACGATTGTTATTTTTTTTAATTTGTTTGTTGTTGCTGTTGTTTGGGAAAAGGTTTGATGATGACGACAGCCAAGAAGGTTTTTATATATGTAAAAAGTCGTTTAAAAAAAAAAAAGGAAAATTAACGGGAAGGTTTTTTTTTCTTGTGGGGGCGGAGGAAGGGGATCGAAAGGAGGATTTTCAGGGGAGGAAGGAATAATGTGAAAAATAATTTTTTTTTGGGGGGTGGGAAAACGGAATAAAAAAGCGATGGAACTTTTTCTCTCGGGTATTGGACGAAACCCAAAATTTAAAAAATTTTTTTTATTTTTTTTATTTTATGCGCATTTTATGGACCGGATAATAATGATAATAATAATAATAATAACTGGAAAAATATTTTCCGAATCGTTAAATTAAAAAAAAATAATAAGAAATTAATAATTAAAATTATTATTATTATCAATATTATTATTGGTATCATATTGAAAGCGACAGCGAAAATTGATTTTCTGCAAAAAAAAAAAAAAAAAAAAATTAAGTTGGCACGACTGAGTTTCCACACAAAAAAATTATTTATTTATTAAAAATGATGATGATGATGATAATAATTATAAACGGTTTTTAATGGTTTTCTTTAATTTTTATTCGAGCGTTTTTTGTTCGTGAAAATTTTCCCGACGATGTTTTCCAGGTTTTTTTTCTTTTCTGGAATTGGACGTTCCAGGCGATGCGTTAATTTCATCCGCAGGATTCCGTTGCATTAAAAAAAAAAACGCGTGTGTGCGAGTCGTGTTATGGTTGTTCTTCTGCCACGATTGGTTACAAGTTTTTCAAGTTTTCACGATGTTTTCTCTCTCTCTCTCTCTCTCCTTATTCGTTTCGTGAGAAAATTAAAAACGAATTTTTATTTTTTCTGTAAGGACTTAGGAGGGGGTAAAAATGAGAAAGGAAAAGAAAAAAGGGACCCTGAGAAAAACATCCCTTATGGGTAAAAACAAGAACCACCGCCGCCGCCGAACCGCCACCGTGAGAGATTTTTTGTTTTAAATCGTAAAAAGATTCCCTTCGACGAGGATTTACACACACACACACATACTTGCTCTCTCTCTCTCTCTCTCTCTCACATCCTTCTACCCTCTCTTTTTATTTTTGTATTTTCAACCAAGGTGGTATAAGGGATAATTTTTTTTTTTCATTGTTTAAAAGGGATATTATTAATAATAATAATAATAAATTTTTTTCGGGTCTTTTGTCTTTCGACCGTTGCGATTTAAATGAATTTTAATTAATAATAATAATAATAAAAGAAATTTTGTATTTTTTTTCGGTTCGGGCCTTGAAAAAGGGATGGAGGGACAATGATGACGGGTCAGCAGAATCCGTGAGAGTGTCGTCGTCGTTTGAATATTATTATTCGCGGTTGATTTTCTTCTTCTTTTTCGAATCCATGGAAAATTCGTTTGTTTTTTCGTTTGTCGTTTGTTTCTCGCGAATGTTTTTTAAGGGATGATGTTTATGAGACGAATTGTTAATTTTTCGCCATTTCCGGAAGGAAACGCGTCTCTCTCTCTCTCTCTCTCTTTCTTATTTATTTCATGCCTTCGGTTGGCATTTTCTTTACTAAGGAATTAAAAATGTTACGAACAAAATTTTTTCTTTTTTTTTTTAAAATGTCAGATTTTCGAATGCGAATTTTTTTTGTCGTCTTTGTTTTTGTTTGTTTGTTTGTTTGTTCGATCCGTTTGTAATTTTTTTAAGAGTTTTTATTTGCGACGAATGATTTTTATTTTGATGAAAAGATTCGAAACGGGAAAAGGAAATTAAAAATTTATAAAAATAAGTCACTTTTATCATCATCATCATCGTCATCATCATCGTCGTCGTCG